TTTCTAGCCATATCTGGCGAATAGCAACAATTTTTTAAATCTACACCTAATCCATTACTAAGAACTAAGGAATAAACTCCAATCTTGGTGACAAGCAACGATCTTCTGTTTCCCATGATTAGATTTATCCTTTCATGCTCCACACCCTTATTTCTTCTTAGTCCCTGCAAATCAGAACATATGTGAAAATCACATCCTATATCAAGAACCCAAGAAATAGCATGCGATGAATCATTAGATCTAATTGTGTAAATACTTGTGAAAGATGGCTTAATCTTCCCATCCTTGATGGCTTGCAGATATTCTAGGCAACTTCTCTTCCAATTTCCTATCTTGTGGCAATGATGGCACTCTGCCTCCTTAGGGGTGGAATTGGGCTTAGTAGAACTAAATTTCGTTCCACTAGAAGAGGTACCATCTTGGGACTTTCCCTTGTAGTGGCCCTTTGAGGGAGCCTTCATCTTCTTGCCCTTCCCTTAACCTATTGCCAAGATAGGCGTAGCAGTGGGAGTGGGAGTCGGTGCAACAGACTTATCCTTGAGATTGTTCTCTGCAGACCTCAACAAGCCATGAAGCTTGCTCAAGGTGACCTCTTCCTTATTCATGTGGTAGGTCATGTGGAGCTGGTTGTAGCAGGGAGGCAAGGAGTGAAGGATGATGTCGATTGCCAACTCTTCATAAAAGTTAACATTTAACTTCAACAGGAGATCAACATATCTCTGCATCTTTTGCAGATGAGCGGTAAAGGACTCTCTATTATCCATTTTGGCAGTGATAATCGAAGTGATGATCTCGTACCTTTCTTGCCTAGCGCCCTGGTGGTACCGGTCCAGCAAGTATTGATGCATTTCATAGGGGTACATGTCCTCATAGGACTTTTGAAGTTCAAAAGTCATGGTTGCCAGCATGATGCAATGGACTGTCATGGTATCATGTTCGTGGGCCTTAAAGGTGGAGATCTCATTGGGAGAGGTAGTGTTAACATTTATCTCCTTCAACTTCTCATCGAGGACATATTATTTGTCCTCATAGAGAGTGGCCATTCGGATGTTACGGATCCAATCATTGAAATTGGACCCGTCGAATATCACTATCACACATAAGTTCATAAGTAAGAATGAGCCTGAGGAGTTGGAGCTAGAAGCATTGTTGTTGACGTTAGACATCTGAAATAGAAAAGGACAAAGTTTGATTAGAAATGAATCCCCAATTAAACACCCAAATGAGAAATTAGGGCTAGGATCCAACAACATTATTTACAAATTAGAAGAGGGATGTCGTAATCTAACATGCAAATAATTTAAAGGTAAATGAATGACGATTCACTCATTCTCCACCATGAAAAACGAAAAAGAGATTAAGTTTTAAATGTTTTGAAAACTCCTAAGTTCCTTTGAGATTCATTTAACTTTTCAATGGCATGTTTAAATCTCGATATGCCCGTCTAGTTTGTGATTAGGATGCCGAGGATCACAAAGCGGGTGTGAATAACCATGCAAATGTACATGATGCCCTCATTGTTACAGTCACCTATTCTATGTGTCGGTTAACCACACACGCTCCATCGAACTATGACAAACAATGAGTCACCCTTTGCCACCTATGCTTAGAGTCCAATTAGTGTGCCGATTAACCACACACGCTCCACTAACGTCTTAGCAAGGGTACAAAGTGTAATTTCATGGAATTGCATCAATTCACTTTTCTTAAAGTAACTGATATTGGGAATTGTTGTTAAAAAAACATTTAGTTACTTTTATAATTCATTATAATTTTAGTGAAGAAAGGTTTTCCCTATCCTACCCGTTCGGCTAACGACCCTCCACCAATCAAAGAAATGGTGGGTGAGAGTGGACACCCATTAAATGGCCCTTTTATATGCCATAACCTTATACCCCCCTTATAGATCGGCTTTGTGAATGAAACCTACTAACGGTAAGACTAGCATTTTAAGTTGTACATATATACATATTACTCTTGTAATATTATAATAGTATAGGGTGTATTTTAAACATTTTAAAACACTAGAGTTTTAATCAAATTTAAAATTTCTAAAATTTAAAACCTTTTAATTTAAAATTTTAAATATTAAAACTTTGATTTAATAATTATCCCAAAATTAAACTATTAATTTAAATTATTAAATCTTGAAGGATTATCTAAACAATTAATTTAACCTAATCCCTTAAATCCACTAAAATTCGAAAATATGGGATGGGAGAATTCAAAATCTTTAATTACCAAATTAAACTATTAAAGAGATAATCATAAGATATGGCAATATCCAAATCCCTAAAAATTAGGGATCTTATCTTGGGGAGGAGGCAAATTTCGAAACCATAGGGTTGGATAACCCTAGAATTCGAAATCTTGGAGGCTAAGGAAAGGGTTTGAGAAACCCTATCAAATTTCGAAATCAAGGGTTTAAGAACCCTAATTTGAAAATTATGCCTCTAGGGTACATTGGCTATAAACCCTAATGCGTCAAATTCATACATTTGTATAAAGCTAATTGAAAACAAAAACCAAACGCTTTGATACCACTGATAGGTTTTATACAAACAATCATATGTGTGCATGCAACCCTAGATACGGATCTATGTTTCCACTATTAGTTACAAAATATTTTGAACACAAAAGAAACATAACATGCTCCTAGGTAATTTCTAAAAATCATAAAGAGAATGAATTACATACCTCTTGTTGTTATATTGTAATAACAACTTGTTTCTTGAATCTTCTTGTCTTTGAAAGCAAGTACCACAAGTGTAGTACCTCTAATGGATCACAAACACCAAGAGAAATTTGAAGAAGCAAGAGAGAGAGAGAGGGGAGAGGCAGAAAAACAGCTCTAGGAACTTCTAGGATCAAGTGGCCGATTTTCCTATGCCAAGGGACCTTTATATAGGTGTAGGAATTAAGTTTTCAGTCCTTATCCTTATCTGATTACTTGCCACCAAGCAGTCCAAAGGATAACCCTAGAAACCTTATCATGGATGAATTCTAAGGCCTTATCCCCTTGAATTCGTCCACCCTATCATATAGGGCATCCTTTGCCCTACTTTGCAACTATCACATATTTACAGTTCAGCCCCCTTAGTTTAATTAACTTATTTTGATGATAAAATTAATTCTTAATTAATTCTTGACCAATATTAACTAAACAAATATGATTTCTATTTTAATATATTACTCTTATAATATATTAATAAATCATAATAACCTATTTCTCTATTATTTCTCCAGTCAAGTTGCTTTGGTGAAGGCAACCCAAAAGGACCATGCACAACCGGGTCAAGTACTTACCAAATATGGTTACGGGCTTAGACACTAATCCAACAATCAATAACTCACATCATGAATTATACGATTAACACTTATTCCAAGTGTCCAAGTTGTAAATGTTAGAACTTAGATTTTATGGTAGATACCGTAGAGACCAAAGTTGTAATTTACTCATGTATAAATAACTAATAAAGTAAAAACATATTAATATCGTAGGGACCAAAGTTGTAAATGCTTTTTAGGTTTGAGCCTTTCAAACTAGTTTGTGTCCTATTCTTATCATTAATGAAGCACATCTTAAAGGGAAATACTTGGGCACCATGTTCCTAGCGGTAGGCATGGATGGTAATAACCAAATACTCCCTATTGCATTTGGAGTTGGAAAAATTGAAAGTGGGAGTCATGGATTTGGTTTTTATCAAGTTTCAAAGAATATATTAGGGGCATGTTGTCTTTGGCTATCATATCATATAGAACCAATTCAATTGAAATGACTATGCATGTTGGGTTTCTGAATGCATATTATGGACTCTGATGTCGCCATTTGTTGATGAATATGAGAGCAAAGATTGGAAAGCAAGAGAGAACAAAGATTTTGTTTTTGGAAGCTACAAAAGCTTATCGGCAATCTGATTTTATAGAAAGCTTGAGTAGGCTGCATCATGCACTAAATGAAGACTATCGTACATGGCTAGAGAGGATCGGTTACAGGAAATGGGCAAGGTCGTGTTTCCCTATGGTTCGGTACAATATTATGACATCAAACAGTGTGATTCCATCAATGCGTTATCAAGAGACGCACAGAAACTACCAATAACAATGTTGATTGATTTCTTTAGAGCAATTATGCAGCAATGGTGGTGTCTGCAATGTAACGTTATTGGTAACTATTTATATTATATTACTTCCATTATAAGTGTAGTATAAAAAATTGTGTATGACAATATATACGTACAAATTTTTTTATAGTTGAAAGCAAAAGGATATTACTGAGTATGCTAAGAAGGTTATCGATAGGAGGATCAACAAAGCCTCCAATTTTCGGGTATACCAAATTGATCAAGTATATATGAGGTGATTGACCAAATGAAAAATCGGTATAATAAACTTGGAATCTCGTTCCTGCACGTGTGGGAAATGACAATTGTCAGGTATACCTTGTTCTCATGCAATGACGGTATTCAAGGAAATGAGATATCAACACTGCAATATATGGGTGTCATCGCAGTTCACAATGGAAACATATTGATCAACATATAGAGAGGTTGTGTTTCTTGTTCCAGTTCGAACTGAATACAAACAACAGGATAATGTATTACCACCATTGATGGACAAACGACAAGTCATACGACCACGAAACCATAACCGTATCCCATCCCGAGGTGAAGGTCTGATTAAGAAAAAATGCAGTCGTTGCCAAAGGATCGGGCACACAAGCAGAAATTGTGCCGCTCAGTTTCCCGCAGATTCAACAAAACTGAAACTTCTAGTGGGACCAAGTCAAGTGTCAAAAGTAACATTAAGTCTAAGAGTATATCTAACGTTAAACTAGTCGTAATAGTAGCCAACAATATGATAATGTTGACCTTAAAAACCCGTGATGATATTTGTATGAAATTAGAATATTTTACATTGTTCATAAACATAAAGTTGTTTTTGTTACATCGTCATAAGGAAATTGTGTAAAACACACATAAGGAAAAAAAAAACATAACTTAAACATCGGGGTAATCTACAACATCTATCCATAGGACGCTTTCAATCCACCACAAAGCATCACGCTCCTACTGAGTAGGTTGCAACATTTTTTTTTTTGAGGGGGGGGGGGGGGGGGGGGTTTGCATGAAACAATTTATAAATGTTGATCGTAAGTTATTTTCCCATACCAACTTATAAATTATAAGGTGAACTAAGCTACAAACCTCAGTAACATGAAGAATACATTCGCACTCAGCAGTGTGCAGACGCCTCATCCTGGGGTATGCAACTACATAAGGTATAATACCTGGTATAGGGGAACCAATTATACTACTATTGGGAAACGTCTCTATGATCCAAATCTATAAAATTAAGATGTTAAACAAGTTACCAACTTAAAAAGTTATAATACTTGTTGCTTAAAAACATTTTAAAAAGTCAACATACCTTAAGTGCATATTCAAATCCTTGTAGAGTATATGTGTGTCTACTATCGATTCTTGGTGCATTGGGGTTCAAATGCTCCTCAATCTTGTCAAACACAGTATATAGCTGTTTGTAAGTGAAATCTCATATGACTCTACGCCATGGTTACCTATGTCAACAATTATACTTAATAAGTATATGTATGCTTTGATATAGTGTGTGTAAAAAACTATATACATGTTAAACTCGTTTAAATTAGAGACGAGTGCCATACACTCATTAGTAATCGGTGGTCGAGGGTATTTCCCGAAAATCCTTGCTTTAGAATAAACAACAACAAAGACTCTCACAATGTTTGCATCACTTAATTGATGAAGTAAGTTATTGAACACGTGGATAAGGTCAGCCACTATCATCGAACGTGAAAGCAACACAGATGAGAACACACGTTGTCTGAACTCTCCAAAATCAGAACTGGGGTGGAAATACTCCCCGAACCACAAGTCAGTAACCAAGCAGAATGCCTGTTAAAGCAAACACGATAGTCACCAATCATAAATAGAGGTTCTTGTAGGTCAATTGGATAAAAAATAATAAATTCCATGCACATAAGATAATGACAGAGTAAAGGGTGACATTCTATATCCATCTACATGTTCACGTAATCACCAAAACATGATTGCCTAAACAAGACCCCACAAACTAGTCAATTATTTAAACGAGCCATGATTTTACTCCTAAGTTCACACCGGCAAGTTGTAGTAACAACCGTTTCATATGTTATGTCGTGCTACAACCAAAAGAATAATTTGTTAGCCTTTTTGTATGTATGTTCCGGAGGACATTACTAAATAAATATTTCTGGAACATAATTTCAGGCTAAAATTCTGCACCCAAATTCCGGAATGTTCATTGTATTCCGGAGGTATTCTTATTATTTCAGACATGTTTTTCGAATTCCGAACGTGTTCCGAACTAGTGAAAATGAAGTTTTTGGTGAGAATTTATGACGTAGCACATATATTTGTACATATAATCCTATAATTGTCTTTAAACCAATTAAATTCAAAGGAAAACTAATAATACCTATCTAAACGAATACACTATACAAGTTTTAATGTATAATCTAACATAAAAGCATATAATTATAAGCATAATGAAAACTTACATATAAAAAAATACATATTATCACCGCTATATGAAGACATTTTCAGTTTTGGTGTTGTCCAGAATGCTAGTAATCCAAAATGAGAGTTCAAAACTAAATCCAAAACGGATTAAATGGTATTTACAGGGAGACCACATTTTTGGGTTGGATCCATATAAATGCACCGAATACAAAATCTATCATTCCGGACCGAGTGGTCATTTTGCCAAAAAAAAAAAAAAGATTATTATTATTATTAAAATAACATTAAAAAGTGGTTAGATTACTCAATTTCCCCTATCTTAGTTTACAAAAATTTCTTATTAACAAAGAGTCGTAAGCTAATTATTGTTGTCCTCTTCACTTCCTTATAGCAAAAGCTGGAAGGCTAGGATCGCAAAGGTATTTCAAAATCAGTTGTCATCTCCACTCTCCAACCACATAGGCCCAAACCAAAAACATAGAGAAAATGACACTCAAATTTGTTAAATGTTAATAGAGAAAGGGAAGTGATTCGTACACAACAATTTTTTACCGTACACAACAATTTATGCATTATAAAGTTGTACAATACAACACTTTAAAGTACAAATTGTTGTGTGCGGAGAAAAAGTGTTGTGTACAAATCAGTTCCCATAGAGAAAGCCTAAATGAAAAAACATAACATTCTCATATTCATATATAGCTTAGCTTAGCTTACCAGATTAAGTCAAACCACCTGATGAAACAGGTTGTTACAATTGCATAAATGGATATACATATCATCTGAATATTCACAAAATTCAGGTTTCTCATCTCCAAAAAATCTCTACTTTTTTATCCATTACACAAAGCTCTGAACCGGAGCTGATAAGTTGAGCTCATGTGCAGCCTGGAAGAAGTCAGCAGCTTGATGCATCAAACCTTCCTTCTTGCAGATCAAACCAAGGTTAAACCAGGCTTCATGGTTTGTGGGTTCTAACCTCAATGTGTTCATCAACAAGCTTCTTGCAATTGGGACTGTGTGGGTCCCACTCCCACTCCCACCCATTTTTATTAGGGTTTCTGCTGTTGAAATTAAACTTGGGACATAATCCGGTTCTATTGATAGTGAAATCGAGTACGCAACAAGTGCTTCTTTGTGTAAAGATTGCGCTTCAAACAACAAACCTGTGACAAAAGGGTAAAATGGTAATTTACTCTCTCGGTCCAAGAAAGAAACAGTCTCTTTTCATATAGTAGTTCCATTACCATTTACCACACAATAATTATGATTTCAGATATTTTGTTCAATTCGAGTTGTAAATATATAATTGCATTTGTTATCATCAGAACGACATTATTTAAGTATTTACAATTTCATTTTATGACAGTTCTCAAATAAACAGTCATTATTGTTTCTGGATAAAAGGGCAAAATGGTCATTTACTCTCATTCAGTCCAGAAAAAAAAAAGTCTTTGTTCTTATAGCAGTTTAAGTTATTTGTATATAAATTCATTTGTTATCAAAAAAGAAATTATTTGAAGTATTTCAATTTTTTTAGATTGTTTGCCATTTACAATTTACAACAGTTAGCATCAGTTCTAGACAAGAGGGTAAAATGGTCATATTTTATTTTCATACAGACATCAAATTAGACAAAACTAGCTGATGAAATAATGAACAAACCTGTAGAATGCCAAGTTCGAGGGTAGTAGAATTCCTTTAACTTTGCTTTCCCAACACAAATTTCAGCATCAGAAAAAGACTCCAGCTTTGTGTAAATATTTGCTAAATCCAACCAAGCTTCCATTTCCAATTTCCTCTCACTTTCCTATTTAAACAACAATAATAATAATTCTCTTCAATTCAGAATCAATTACTTTGATTTTTATCAGGAAAACAAGAAGAACACAAATAAATATATTCATACCTCAAAATCCAAGTTGACTTTTTGAAGTTCACCATGTGTCTGAATCAATGATAACAAAACCTTGTAAGTTTCTATGGCTTGTTTAGGCTGTTCTTGAGCAATCTGAAGAACAGCTTTCAGTCTAAGCAATTCCAATTGGTCAACTCTTCCAGTTTCATCCAAACCAATGTCAACAATCGTCTCAGAATCTTCAAATCTTTGTTCACCAGATACTATCAAAGCCAATAACTTGAAACCCTTTGCTGAACTCCCACAAATCATGTCAGAATACATCATAATCTTCTCAAATGCAGATTCCAAGTTTCTCTGTATCGCATTTTCTAATCCCAAATTAAATAAAACTTCTGGATCATTGTCAAATCCAATCAAAGCAGCAGCTTTATTCAGGGAGCTGATTGATTCTTCATTGTAAACCACTCTTTCTGAATCCGAAAACGAAACCCTAGCAGCGTTTCCATAACACACTCCAAGAAACTTGTGAGCGATGCTTTCAAAATGCCTGTTTTCAATTTCATCACCCAATTTGATCACTTTTCTAGCAAACGTTATACCTTCATGGGAATATTTAGGATCTTGAGAACATAATTTTGCTCCCAAAAGAAGAGAAGGGAGATGGGGTTTTGGATTTGATTCTTCTTTAAAACACCCTGAAATTTTCTTTAAAATGTTGATGGCTGATTCGATTTTACCAGCAGCACTGTAGCAAAGAGCAAGAAAAAACCATCTTTCGATTCTTGTATATGCAGAAGGAAGAAGCTGTTCGATATGAACAGCTAAACATTCGAATTGGCCACATGTTGATAATGCGAAAGTTAAATGGCTTATGATTTCAGGGTCCCATTTTATTTCTTTACATGATACTTTTCTCATGAGTATAAACAGCAAAATCAGTGCTTCTTCTGTGTTGGATTTAGGGTAAGGTGGGTCCCATGGTTTGGGGTGGGGAAGGGTTGCTTCTACACCTCCGTAAAGCAATATAGACGCTAAGTCTTTTTGTAGGGTTGATAATCTTTGTGGGTCTAAATTCCAAGAGTTAACGAGTGCCCTTCTGTATGCGATTATGGCTTCATTTAATAACCCAGCTTCTATCCATAACTTTGGAAGCAATTCCAATGCTTTGTGAAACATTTCCTGTAATTTGCAATCTTGAGCTATGGAATCGGGGATTCCGTTAGGTAATGCTGATTCAACTATGTCTAAAATCATCTTGCATTCCTTTGCAGCTTCTGATAAAACAAATGAAATCATATTAATAGGTAGAAAAGAAGTATTATAATCTATGAGTATCAATGTGTTGTACCTTTAAATCTGCTCATCTCTTGCAGTGATTTTGCTTTAAGTAGGATCGCTTCAAGAAGCAGACTCACAGAATGAAGGGACATGACACCTACCACACCATTTTCCCTTTTGGCCTTGGAATTTCGTTGCAGGGTTCTGTCACTAATCGCCCTAATCATCCTTGGTGACAAGCTTCTGATGTCGATTCCATAGAAAACTTGAAGTGCAGCATCAAAATTGCCTCTCTGGTACTCAAGTCTACCCAACAAAGCTCTGGCTTCCTTCAGTTTCATGTAACATGGCATTCATATACACACATTTTTAGTTTTTTACTTAATTCCACACAAAAATAGCTAGTATAAGGGAATCCGAAACATAAAATTGAAGAGATAATTTCACCTCATAGTTCAGCGAAAGGGCTTCTTTAAGGGTGGATTCAGCTTCATCCACTTGAGCATCTTCGAATTTTGAATCCCAATCTCCAGTGCCAGTTCGAGAGGAAATTCCACTAGCTGAGAAATCCCTTGTAGCCAATGATTCCGGTGACCGAGAAATTGGCTCTTCTACCTTAAATTGCTCTCCCGAACAAGCACACAACATATTTCAGCTTTATCTGTTCTATCGTTGTTTGGAATGAATTGGTTTCCGCTTGTTATATGAAACTATTTATGAACGTAACGTCCCAATTCGCTCATTTGTTCCACCTGAAAATTAATTGCACACAGAAATTTTTCAGCGTAAAGCAATTTACATCGCATAGTTCATGTTGGCATTTACACAAACACATTTGGGACTGAAATGAATAATGCACCTAATTCGTGTCATATAAGCTTGGATCAGAAAAAATTGTAGTCTAGGGCAGTAAAACAACAATGGAGATCTGATAGATTGCAGAAACTAACAAGTCCTGCAGCAAATTAATACTTGGAAACAACGCACGAAACAGGAAAACGTTTAGAAACGTGTGAAGACTAGACAGAACAGAAGGAATTGGAGGAAGAATAGAGATGATGAAGGAAAACGACTAACAGAAAGTGACAAAGTTGCTAGAAAACAAACAGAGCACGAAATGACGGGACGAGCGAGAGAAACAAGAGTTGGCTAGAGCTTGGGAACTACCACCCACGTAAATCACCATTATCGACGTGATTTTCTAGTGCTTTAACTGTGTGTTAATATACATGAAAACACATTTAAAGGAGCTTCATCTTACTGGTTTCCTTGAGGTTAAGATGACAAGAATTATGAGTAGGCTTTGACATTAGTAACACAAATCGTGAAATGAAGAAGATGAAGTGATAAGAGATCTGAGATAATTAGTTTTTGAATATGATTGAGAGTGATTGTAACATGTGGTTGGTATGGGGAAGAAAGTGGGGAAGGGTCGTACCACTGCTACTCTAGTGTTCCCTCAATGGTCGATTTCAGTTTCTAGTTTCAAAATTTATTGGATTCTCCTGTGAATATTAAAAAAAAATAGCTATAGAAAGAAATTCTGAATTATTGACCGGTTATAAAAAAAACAAAAAATAAATAAATAAAGTAATAAACATTTATTTTATTTTTTTGCATATACGGATATAAGATCCAAAAAGAAATTATTAAATAGAGAAAATCTATATCCAAAAAGAAATTATTAAATAGAGAAAATCACAAAGGTGTCTTTTAAGATTAGATTTTTTTTTGGAACGGTAAATCTACTCCTACACTACTTCTAATTCTTCACCTATATCCCTTACGGGACTTGAACCCTCGACCTCAAGAAGGAAGGACAACATCGGATACCGTTGGACTAGAAGTCTTTGGTGTCTTTAAGATTAGATGGTGTAGGCAACCAACTTGTTATTTTCTAGCCGGTTCGGCATGCGTAGTGACAAGCCCCAACTCGGTAGATTTTTGCAGAGTGACAATGGCCTAAAATTCAACTTTTTACATTACAAGCCCTAACTCGGTAGATTTTTGCAGAGTGACAATGGTCTAAAATTCAACTTTTTACATACTTTTCAACTATAATAAATAGAACTTACAAACATCATACTCTATAACTCTCATTTCATTCCTCCTTGAAAGAAAGACATAATTTCTATTATTTTCAATTTCATTCATGTTTCACAATGTCATCCTGAAACTCTCCCAACAACCAAAAAACACTCACTCAACCCTAATCCAATCTGAGGACCCCAATTCCAATTCGAAACCCATACTAAATTTAAGCCTTTTGAGAATGTTCCAAAAACCCAATTCTAATCCTAACTTGAGCCTCAATACGAGCTCGAGCCCAAATCTGAATATGAGCCCCAACTTGATGCCCTAAAGGGGAAGGCCTTGAACGTATCTTGGATCTCGACATAATAAATGGTGATGGCATCGACTTAGGTCGATGTGTTTGAAGACCCGACAGTATGCAACAACCAAAAAAGGGCTAACTTTTCAAGTTGCTTCCTCGCTCAAATGAAAATAGAAGACTAGCTGACAAATGATCAACTCTACACAAAGTGGAGAAATATAAACAAAGTTATTATAGAATTTAACACTTTGTTTAACAGCTTGAATTAGTGGTGAAAACAATGCAACCATTTTAGGTAAGGCACTTGAAATTTACCATCGCGGACATGGAAAAGGTTTTAAATCTGTTGAGATTTGGAACATTCTCAAAGAATGCAAAAATGGAATGAGGTCCACGGATCGGGATACTATACGAGCGGTTCTAAAAGAACCAAAATACTTGGTACCTCTTATACATCATCAGATGGTGATATCATCCTCATACTGACGGCCAGAGTGACTGGACAATTCCAAATTTAGAGGATATGTTACGGGCTTGTGTGCTAATAATGACTTTGGTGGAGTGTAGGATTCATATCTTCTATTGGTCAAGTTTTCATACAAAAATAGTTATCATTCGAGTATTGGTATGCCTCTGTAACGTCCCAAAAATTAAGACTAAAAATTTCGAGTTTTAAATTAATAAAACCATTATCCAAAATAACCTCATGAAAACCATAATAAATCAGTGTATATCAACAAATATCCCAGTACATCAGAGTAATATAAAATGCGGAACAATGTGGTGTGCGCACTACAATCATACCAGGCTCTTCCCCTTCAAACCAGAAGTACCTGAAACATAAATTGAAAATCATAAGCATAAAACTTAGTGAGTTCCCCAAAATACCACAAATACCACATACCATACAAATCAAACTCATAATAGGCCCCCCGCCTGGCATCGAGCCCCGCTCGGAACAGATTTGTCAGTCATCAAGTCCCATCTAACATCAGGCCCCGCCCGGTATACATACAAACATATAAACACATGCAAAAATTACAAAGATAAATAACATACAATATAATCATCAGGCCCCGCCCGATATACATATAAACACATAACACATGCAAGAGTCACACGGACAACTAGCATCCTAAACATAATAAACCATGGACCCACATTGGTGTCTTCGACCTGCTAAACATAGTAAGGAAATTCACCTCAAGCAGCTAAATCTCTTAGATAAAATCTCGGACTACTGATCTGAAAAATCCCCGCGCTAACATCAGCAAATAATATCCAATTAATAATTGGATCTCGACCCATAATCAAGAATCCAAATTACTTGTCCAACATCCAGGGTAAAAAAGCATTTACCCTTTTCTTACTTGGCCTAAAATCAAGGCCCAACCCATTTATTCAAAAGGCCCAAATTACTAAATGGCATCCCAAAGCCCATTATGGCCCATCATCCTAATTGGGACCAAAAATCATCATGAACCTGATTCAAAGAAAGTCTATAGTCTATCCATGGCCCAAAGTCAAAAGTCCAATGGCCCAACAAGGCCCAAACCCTAAAAGCCCAAAGTAAATCGAGTCCAAAAGGCCCAAACTTTGAAATCCCACCTCATTAAGTACGCTCAGCATACTCCTCGTATGCACGGTGTACGAGTGTTGACTCAAAAACAGGTAGCTGACCCAATACGCGCAGCGTACCAAGGATTACGCCACGTGTACTGGCCAGTATCCCATTGTCCAATTTTGGTCTTAACTACTTAAGCTCTTAACGTACAAACCTCAGATCTACTCCATTTCAAGTATTAAATGCATAAAGTTGGCAGCTTTATCACCTTGCATGTCTTAATGAGACCCAAAACCTGATTTTGTCCATTAAGACTCATAATAAGGACTCTAACTCATGCATGGACGAATATGATTCATTAAGATAGCACTTTTTTACACAAAGAACATTAGAGGGGTTAAGATCTGGCATCGTAGCTCATGGAGTATCTCAAACTCCTAAAGAGAACCCAAAACACCATAATAAGCTAAAAAACAAGCCCTAATCTCAAGCTAACACAAAGAGATTCCAAGATAAGAACTTTATACCTTCTGGAGATAGCAAAATTGATGAAGATTTTAGATCTACAACCTCAAGTCCAACCAAAGCTTGGTCACCAAGCACCACCTTCTTCAATGCATAAAAAGCAATACAAAATTACTTCCAAAGCTGGAGAAAACACTATAGGAGGCTAGGGTTTCGATTTTAGGGTATATAGGAGTGGAGGTTGACCAAAATATACATCCAAGGCAAAATAAGTTGCTTAAGTAGGGCACAACCCCTAAAAATCAGGGTTTGCCCCAGCTTAGCATATGCCCTACATACTCCTACGTATGCCCAATATATGTTGGCGAACGATCGATCCTGAAATGAGCTAATGCGCTAACCATACTCATAGAGTATGCCCCGCGTACTAGATATGGACCAAAAAGATAGAAACTTTGCATGAAGGGGTTAAAACGGAAACATACCAAATCTCGAATCTTATAATTTCCCCCACTTAAATCAGACTTCGTCCTTGAAGTTCGCTGCCCCAAATAGCTCTGGGTAGTGCTCCCTCTTCTCTTCCACCGGCTCCCACATCCATTTTGACCCCTTGCGATGCTGCCACTGAATTTTCACCAACTCCACAACCTTGTTCCTTAAGGTTTTCGTCTTTTTGTCAAGAATCGCTACTAGTCTCTCGATATAATTCAGGCGATCATCTACCTGAATATCCTCCAATAGAACCACCACAGAATCATCCACTAAACATTTCTGCAACTGAGAGATATGGAATGTGCTATGGATCTGACTAAGCTCATTGGGAAGATCCAAGAGATTAGCAACCTGGTCTACCAGGGCCAAAACCCTAAAAGGAACGATGTACCTGGGGCCCAAATTACCCCTCTTCCTGAATAGGATGACACATTTCCAAGGTGACACCTTCAGGAGAACCATATCCCCAACCTGAAACTCTAGATCTAATCGATGCTTATCGGCATAGCTTTTCTGCCAAATCTTAGTTGTCTAGAGTCTACCTAAACCTACTGAATCAACTTGGTAGTCTTATCACGAGGCCACTGATGCTCAATTAAGCACCTCTCCACATACCAAGCTACATCCCGCTCCATACAGGGCCACTAATAGTCAGGACAAAGATCAATATACATCTTCGTCGCTCCAGGATGAATGAAGATTATTGATTTGTATGCCTCCTCCATCAGAACCTGACACGGACCACCGCAATAAGGTACCCACACCCTCCGATGGAGAGTCAGTAATCCCCAACTATCATAATCCAAGAGAGCCACCTAACCCACTGTCACACCCCCAAACCGGAACGACGGAAACGTTCGGGGGCGGAGGACTTCATGTTAAGTATCACAACACATGTATTATAGTAATCAAGTACAACAACCATTGCATTAATAATGTATAAGTTTTTACATAAGTGTTCATACATTGGATAATCGAAATCAAAAGTAGATATAGTAAAAGACAAAAGACGCAACACGGTACTAAGCTATCTTCTAAAAAAGCTTTGGGAGTGTACCTGTATATTGGATTCTTGAGAATACAAGTTATTTTGAAAGAGAGGATTAGCATTTCAGCTGGCAAGTTCATAAGTATTTAGTTATGGTTGTTTTTAGATTTAGTAAAGTGATTGAATACGCTCCAGAAAGTCCTATACTTTCTGCTTTATAATTGAAAAGTAGTTTTATTTCCATGAAACCATTTTGATTTACGTGTTATTGTACGTATAACCTAGTTGGACATAATTTTAACTCTCCATAAAAATTTTAAGAAGAATGTTTTCCATTCCATTTGTAAAAGTAGTTTAAAGCAGTAGTATTTCTTAAAAATACACTACTAGTGTAAT